CATCCTGCACACTTAGTCACCCTGCTGCTGGGTCATCGTGTCCTCTTTGTGGACTCTCTCAGTCTTTTATCTTTGCCTTTGCCTTTGAGACTCTTTGTCATCTCTCAGGCAAAGCAAAGCAGGGTGTTAGTCTGTTGCTCCCCACACCTGTGCTGGGCTTACCTGAGTGCATGTTCTCTGAAGGTGTGGTCTCTTGGAGTCATTTATGCTCAGTCTTGCTTTTCATAGTTAGTATGAGCCCCATCAAAAATACTTACATTTACATACTAAATCTGGAGATAAATTTCACAATTCAAGACCCTGAGATTAGCTCAGTTTGTTAGAGTACAGTGCTAATAAGACCAAGGTCGTGGGTTTGATCCCCATACGGGCCATTCACTTATGAGTTGGACTCACTGATCCTTGTCAGTCCCTTTAAACTCAGACTGTTCTGTTATTCTAGATGTTAGTTCCAGATGTCATCACAAGATTTCGGTGAGGGCATCACTTGAACAAAAATGAAGGATTGTTTAAGATTCTCCATTTTCTTTGTTTTAATTATCCAGGATATAAAATTGTAGCATTTGAAACAATATTTACAATAAGGATTTTGAAAGTAACTTTTCCATGTTGCAAATGTGGCATTTGAAATTTCTACTACAAAGAGTGTTTTTTTAAAATGTTTTTATTGATGATTAGTCAATTGATTCACTGTGGCCTGAGGACTTTATTTTACAGTAGAGGAAATCTAAACATTGTCAGCATCAGGCTGCATTAGTGACACACAGAAGAGCTGCCTGGACTATGCAAGTTTGAAACCTAGTTAGGAAGCTTAACTAAGTCAAGTTTAGTTAGGAAAGTAAAGCTGGAAGAGGTGATGTGGTTTGGGTTATTTGACTTGGGCAGAACCAGATTCTTTGTGCAAGGTATTATCTGTCTGAAAGATATTCAGTGGAGGAGATGCTGCACCCTCAGTAGGTAGTGTCTGCTAGATTTCAATGCACTTATAGAATCATAGAATGGCTTGGGTTGGAAGGCACCTTTAAGATCATCTTGTTCCAACCCCCTTGTCCTGGGCAGGGAACCTTCCTGTACACCAGGTAGCTCAGAGACTCATTCAGCCTGATCTTAAACACCTCCAGGGATGGGGAGTCCACAACATCTCTGGGCAACCTGTTCCGGTGTCTCACCATCTTCACAGTAAAGAATTTCTTCCTAATTTTATTCTAAACGTGCTCTCCTTCAGCTTAGGGCCATTCCTCCTTGTCATGTCTCTCTACCTGACCACATGAAATGTCCCTCTCCAGCATTCTTGTAAGACCCTTATCATTAGGAGTTATCTATATGCTGTCGAACTTCTAGGCAGGAAACCTCATTGTAATTAAATTCTACTTTAATAGCACCAGTAGATTTTTTGAAGAGAGCTCACAAGAAGAAATTTGACTTACACCCATTAAAATGTCTGTTGTTTTTCCCACTGTGTGCTGTTTTGTTTTTTGCTCTTAAAAAAAACTTCACAAATATTGTTTCAAAGAATGAATTGCAGTGGAATATTTGGCTTTAAACAATGGTATTGCTAGAATGGGCACCTCAAAAGCTTGTTGGAGAGAAGATAATTGAGGGAATACTTAGCAGTATCATTCTGTGATGCAAACTATATAAGGTTGCTGAGACAGGCTGTACTAAGGAAAAAACATTCAAGTGAAGCAAGAAGAATTTGGTGGAAATCTGAATATTTGCTCAAAAGTATTTTGCCTAAGTAGGAAAAGTATGATATCTATGCTACTGATGACACAACCAAGATGGGGACAATGAGTATGGTACAGAATAGTAAGGGAAATAAGACATATTCTGGAAGCAGAAGACAAATATTAAGATGAACCAGGGAAAAACAAACAAACAAAACTCAAGACAAAACAAAAAACAAAACTAAAACCCAAAACTAACCAACCAATCAAACAAAAATCCCACACAAACTTAAAACAACAAAGCAAAAACAACTCACACAATTTTTTTAGATATCATCAATGAAGGAGCCATAAAGAAGATAAATCAGAAAGTCTACAAGAGGAGAAGCCCTTGACTGATATACTTTCCAGCATTGCACAGGATCTGGTTCATGATGCATAACTGAAGGTTGGACCCACTTTATCATAGCAACCATCTCTGTAGAAAAGACAGAAAGAAAACAGTCTGACATGGGTATATTTTTTAAAAAAACCAGGATCTGAATAAAAAAAAGAAGACATCTTGAAAGATTACCAATAACAGTGAAGGGAAGAAAAACAGTGGAAGGAACCATTAAGAATGTTTAATGAGACCCAAATGGTGATTCAGAACCTATATACAATCTTATAATTAGGATTTCACAAAGACCAAACACATGCAGAAAAACAACTCAGATGACAAAATAAAGATACTGGATGTCAAAAAGCAACCCTCAAAAAGCACAAGTAATTATGAAAGGCAATGAATTCTGTATGCAATTTATGTATATAAACACAATGTTACAAACCAGAAAAGACTTCCAGAAACAATTTGCTAAATCCTATAAAAAGTAACAAAATTTTTAAAACATCTAAAGAAGAATGTTTCCCAGAGTCAGTGAGACCAGTAGAAGATTCAGAGAGCGTAGTGGAGCTCAAAAATTTTGCACAGAAAATAGTCATTGTAATTTGAGGCAAATTTCCTAACTAAGCTAGTGGAAATGGGACTTGTAATTTTCCAGGAGTTCAGCTTTCTTAACATAGCATCAACTTAAATAAATACAATTGCTGCTTTGGAAATTCAGAATCTCTGCCCTTACAGATTACAATTACCTAATCTTTTTACAAATAACCATTACCTTTCAAGGTGATAATTTCAAAATGCAACGTTACAAGAAGATATAAGAGTGTTGGAGATACTAAAGGTCTATGATTTCTCAGAAACTTGACAGAATTAATGCAGTGGGAATGATAGGACTGAATTTAAATTTGTTTTCACCATTTTCAACCATTTCAATGTAAACAAGAATGTACATGTGTGCACATAGGCCCACACATTTCTCCTTATAGTTCCTTCTACTTCATTTCCAAGAAGACTTAATGTAAACCTCAGCTGGATAAAACTAATCGAAGTACCTGTTTCCTCAAAACTTTATTTGCACATGCTACTTCTAATTTTTCTTTTTCTAAGCATCCAGTAAGTAATATCAGAAGTCTAAAAAAATATTCTACCTGCTGTAATAGGATTCAAGGGTCAATAAAAATAAAAACAGTAATAACACTCCTTGAAAAAGACAGCTAATTACAGTTCTGTGAAGAAGAACAAGACTGTAAAATAAGTACCTACTTCATTAGCACTCTCATTTCACATCTATCATGCAGAGTCCTTATACAGCTAAGCAAGAGTACTTTAACCTAAATTGGTTGACATTTATTGGCAAAGACCCTGCTTTAATGCCAGCTCCCTCCCCAGAGCTATTTCTAACCCTTGCTTATATGTTTTCTCTGCCTTCATTCTATTTCCTTCTACAGGTTTACAATGTGGGATAAAAGCTCTTTAGTCTGGTATTGTTTAGCATTGTAATCTGACCTTAACTTTGATGAGCTAGAACAAACAGACATAATCCTCAGAATACAGGCAGGAGGCAGAAATCTATTTTGAAAATCATCAGGACTAGGTTTTTGCTCTCAGGAAGGACTCTGGCTGCTCACATGTCACTATCAAAAGTAAAATGAGACACATGGAGAGATTATCATCCCTGCTCTTTTTTCCAAATGCTGCTGTGACACCAAAACCTAAAGGCTGCAGGCCCCAGAACCTGTGTGAGCCATCCCAGATCAACCATTCCTCTCCCAGACTGTTTCTGCAGGTTGGGAGCTCATGTGTAAGAACATCTCTTAACAGTAGGTCGGTTGCGCTCAGAGATGGACCGTGTGGAGAACGCAGAGGTCAAAATGTAAGGACATGCCAATTATGGAGCTAGGGTGAGGAGATTCATAGTTCATCCAATCTGTATGCCAAGTGGCACAAAAATTTGCAATACTAATGCACACAAATATTACATATATGCTCAAATTAGGAAATTATATTTAAAGATAACACCCCCCCCCCAAATAATCTGCTTTTGTTTTTCATTTAGTTTCCAATTTCAAAGTTATAGGTTTTACATCCTGCAGAATTTTTCTGTAGTCACAGAAGATAGAAACTTATTTATGCAACTCATAAATGCAAGCTGAGACTCTTACATAATTACAGGTCTCCAAACAATATGCATACAGGAGCTGGCAAGTCCACGCTGGTTAATCAGTTTTAAGATGGAGCAGCCTTTGAAACAAGCAGAGAATCTCATTACCCAGCTGCATAAATTCATGGTTTAGTTATATCTTGAACTGTTGTGTGCAGTTTTCATCCTGTGATCTCAGAAAAAGAGGGTATAACTGGGAAAGATTGAGAGTAGTGTGACAGATATACTCAAAAATATACTATTCAAAAGAGTATATTCAAAATATTAAAAAATTGGAACTATTCTTGAAAATATGGGACAGTTACTGAGTAAACATTAGCTTAGCATAGAGACAAGTTGGACTGAGAAGTAGGGAGAAGTATCACATTAAAAGAAATGCACAGAGTTACATTGGGAATGACTGCTCACAGTCTCTGCCAAAGCAGAACTACAGGATATCAGAAGTGAGCAGATGGCAGACTCAGAGCAAATGAAAGAAATTGATTTTTCACATTGTGCAGGTAAACTACAGGTTTTTTCAGATGCAAAACATCTATGTGAGTTCAAAAGATGCATGAAAAAAAATCAAAAGGAAAAAAAACCTCAGGGCCATTAATTACAAAGACACCATCTCAGACTCAAGGAGCCCTTGGAGCTGGAAAAATATTCTAAGGAAACATCATTATGTTTTTGACCTTTTCTTTTTCTCTTCTCTAAGCATCTGCTTTCGTGTGCGTAGTGACAGGATACTAGGAAAAATGGATACATCCATCCCATGCTCTGAATCCAAAATCTTTAGTTTGTGTTTCAGAACTGCCAAGAATCATGAAAATTAGAAGTAATCAAATGCCCCTCAAGATTTTTTCCCCTGCAGGAACAGAGGAAACAACTGCAGAAGGTATGATGTGGATTCTTATTAAGTTTTTCCCAATTATTTCTATGAAAATAAAAAAATTACCTCCTGGGATCTGAGTCTTTTTTCCCCCAGGAAGCTCCGAGCATTGCTAAGGGACCTTTAAGTGATAGGGTATGCTCAAGTGTAAAGGATATGTGAGATGTAAAGCTGCTTTGAAGTATTAGGTCACTAATCCTTTGCACCTATGATAGTGCATTTCTTCTGAGAGTGTCAGAGACTTCCTTGTTTGCAAGGGCACTGCTAATTCCAGCACAAACCTTGTGTGAGTTCGCTTTAAGCTATGCCATGAGTCCTGCATGGGTCCCAAACTAACTCACACAAGCATAGCATAGCTCACCTCCTCCTGCCTCTGGGTGGGAATCACACCTCTACCTTGGAGCAAATGAAAAGTTTCTCCCACGATGCTAGGAGGCAAGCTACCCTTTCACAGTCTGGTCCAGGCATCCAGCTTTTACTTCTGGTTTTGCAAGGCAAAGGAGACCAGAGCATTTGTATGAGGGAGAAAGAAGGCTGTGAAGAGTGGATCTAATGCCAGCATGGATAAAAGGAATAAAAAGGTCTGACTCTGGAGAAGTGGACTGTGGGGTCAGCTGTAGAGGTGAAGCATGTGTTTGGAGAAATTAGCAGTTATGAATGAAGAGTGACGCTAAGACACACTTCACACTGAGAGGTGTAAAGTTAAGAAGTAGCATAGAATTTCTCATTTCTCCATTTAATCAAAAGACTGCTTCACAACATTAAGAAAGCAATCAACCTACAAATGATGTCTCTGAAGGAATAACTAAACATTGTTCACAATAAAAAGTTCATCTTCTGTGAAAGATTGAAATAGTAATCAATTGGCACACCAATATCTCTGCTGATATTTGTAAAGTGGAGTTACAGAATTAAGGCAATATATAGTATATCTGACATGAAAGTTGGCTGTTGTCTCAAAATATGTAACCTCTGGCTGGGATGAGTAGGTAGATAACCTAGTGCTTAGCAGGCATCTCTATTCCAATGCTTCCTCCATTACTTTGCAACACACCATTTTGCTTTCAGTCCTCAGATACATATTGCTTCATCTGAAATTAAGTTCCCTGATTGTCTCAGTGGGTATCTTAGGCAATATTTGAAGTAATTATGTCACTTCAAGAGCAGCATAGGAAAACAATATTGTTCCATTTTATTTCTCTTCACAGCTGTCCAAACAACATTAAAATAAATCAGAAGTGCATTGCGTTCAGAGCAACAACATGAATATAAAATCTCTCCAGCACAGCAGAAGCCATCGAACAATTAGCAGGAGTCCTTATGACTAAACAAATATATTTTGCACTTCTGGATCAATCCAAGGGGAATGAACACCACTGAGAGAAAAAAAATACTAATCTTTAAAGGTGTTAACAAGTCATATAGTACAGATTATCCCATAATTACTTCAGTAGCTATTTTACAGAAGACACGTGCGTTTCTAAAATTTAGCACTTCCATGTAATCCTGCTTGGCCTGAATGGAAAATCATTCATATCTTCTTTGGGTTTTTTTACTTTATCATCTTTGTTGCTTTGATGTCCTCTGTCATCCTCCAGGAAGATGCTTGCTTAACATAAAACCTGGAAATCATAGTTAGATCAAATTAAATACAAAGATAAAGTGTGTAGGTATGCAAGTATTTAAGAAGTGAATATTGGCTGTTATAATAAATGGTGCCACAAGCTGAGCTACAGAACACATTTCTTGGGGAAATATTTTTTTCCCCTTCATATATTATACCTTCATATTCCCATGATACCACTTCTGAGACTGGGGAAACCACAGTTAGCACAGTCTGCAAAAGTGAGATGTAGGTAAATACAGAAATATTTAAAAGAAAAATAATGTTATTACTGATCAGTGATGTCACACTGGACTCATGGCAAATGAGAGAGGTGCCACCATCAAAGGTGTGACTGGAGCCTCAGCCCAGCATACTGCTAAAGCTAAATTTAACAAAATGAATGAGTTTCAGAATCAAGTGTCAGTGGATCATGGTTTACCTATGAGAAAGTTAATCAAATGAAATTAAACTCAACGAAATTAGAAGGTATTTGATTTACATCTCATTCAGAACATCTAAGTAGCATTTTTACTCTAAGACAATACTGTAAGATCAAGATGTGGTCATGAATACATTCACATTTTATCCATCAATGTTTTTAATGGTTTTTTTTGTGCTTAATTCTTGTACATTGTTAATAAAGTAAAAAAAAAAATTACCTATCTAATTTATTTCCTACTGTGTCTGTTGCTTTGTTTTTAGTGGCAGCTCTATAAGCAAATAAACACTCCAGAGGGTTGCTCATGGTGGAAGCTGAACTTCAAATATACAAATTGAAGCCTTCAGAGCCAGTTTAATATCCATAATGTGGTCTGATGAAAAATAGTATAGCTATGCTTTGGTGACCAGCCCTGCTTAGTATTCGTTTGGATTTCAAGCTGCAGTGGAGGAATGGTGCAAAATTTGGATGCACAACATTCATCAACACAATGAATAAAATGTAAGCACCTTCTCTTTTTTCTGTGATCATGAAGGAACAGAAAGTCCAAATCTTATTGCAGAAGTAAAATCAAAGACAATTTTCTCACAAGATGGGTTGTTATTCACAAAGCATTTTCAGGAGTCAGCTGAGAGGTGAGAACAGAAGTTCTAATTTTTCTTCCCTGTTGCAATGGGCAGGGCACTTCTGTGCTCTTTTTCCCTGTTTGTAAAATAAGGATAGAGCAATAATGAGTTCTTCGGTTTTATGATTCTCTTAATGTTTGCATAGCACTTTAAAATATCAGGAGTAACATAGAAATAATAACTACTGGACATATTATAGCAAACACAAATACCTCTATTTCCAGCGTTTTACCTTTTATTTGTTCAATATTTTATTGAAATATAACTTGTGATTTTTATGTAATGAGAAATAGATTACTAGGTAGCATACTAAGCAAAAATTTGGTTGCAGAACACTCTAAAACAATAATTCCATCCCAGGAGAAACTAAGATATTTACAAGATCTTTTTACAATAAAAATGAACCATTAAAAATTTGGCAGGGATTCTCTGAGCATAATTGCAGTTGTGCTCGTTTCAAAACGCCTGTGAAATCTTATTCACCAGGACTGTAACACTAACATGCCTCTGCCTATGGGAAAATAATTTAAAGTATTTTAAATTGAAAATTTAGAGCTGTTATAATTAATTGTGAATCATTAGAAACAGATGAATTAAAAAATAAATAAAACCACAACAAAACAAACCAAGATTGTTTATAACATAACAGATCATTAGCAAACTGCTGTAGAATCCAAAGATTTGCCAGAGAAGAAGATATATCACAGGCATAATCATCTTTTATATAAACCCTTAAATTTTCTGTCATATCCTCCAGCACTGACTCTCCCCTGGGGTTTAGTGCAACCCATCCCCACCTGGGTTTTGTAACTCTCAGTAAATCTTTATGTGTCACCTACACTTGGACCACAGAAAATTCGAAGAGTTCCAACACACTTACTGCCCACTGATTTGGTTTGTCAGGAGGAGTGATGGGGATTCCATATGGGATGGAGAGTGATGAAGGTGTACATACTATAGGTATCCCTGTCTGTTCAAGCCTCCTTTTTATGATCAAGTGGTTTTTAAGATTAAATATGGGGTTTTCTCTGTGTTTTAGGCTTGATAAGCAGGCTTAGCAAGTGTCACAGCATTCTCATGGACTTATGTGCCTGGACAGGTACCCTCAGAGAGGATTTTATGTCTGTCCTAGGCTCACAAGGATAGTAGTGTGACAATTAGAAAAGGGCATACAGAAAAATGTTAAAAGGTTTTCTGCTACGTAATGGCCATTTTTTTTCTGTCTCCAATGTATTACAACTGTATGCTCCTATCTTCTTGGTATTAATTTGATAACAAATAACTCACTTATACTGGTGTTTTGTATGATCTTCTCCTATACCCCCTCCCCACATTATAATTTTGCACATACACGCATCTAAGACAAAATTTTCTGTTGAGGTTCCCATCAGCTAAAAAATTATTAGAGCAGCCTCAGCTATCTTCTCTCATGTCACTGGAATTTACACAAGAAAAAAGAAAGAATATCAAAATATATGCATGAGATTCTATCAGACAAATATTACCCTTGGAAAGCTTGAGTAATCAGCATTGATAACACAGAGGAATGTAAGATCAGATCTGGGCAAAAAGGACCTCAGTCATACTGTCTATGTACCTTGAAATCAGACACGTTCATAGAGCCTAATGAATCCGAACCTACATATTTAGTAGAAATCAAATGACATACAGGTTTCTTGGCTAGTTTTACAGTCATGTATTCATTCAGCACAATCTCATTATACTTGAAGACTGTGGAATGTGGAAAAATGTGGGAATCATTCTGCCAGAACAAACGACTGCCTTACATTCTGCATCTCATTGTTGGAAGTCACTTCCAACAGGAGTTTTACATAACAGTTTCTGTTATGTAAAAAGCAGCTCCAGCATTGGTTGGGAATAGCCTCTGAGCTGGAACAGCAGGGTTTATGGCTACTTTGTTCATAATACAATTTCTGCAATTTAAAAGAGAGCAATAGACCAAAGAGGAGAATACAGTCAAACTGTGGCCAACGGAAGTGAATAAACTCTGTCTAAATGGTAATTTAGAGACACCTTAGCACTGACTTTAAATGGGCTTTAGAAAGTGCTTTTCATAAGGAAGAGATGTGATTAAATTAAATTCCTCTCCAACAATAGTTTACAGCTACCTATTATAAGCTTGTGAAAAGTGTCAGTGGAGATAACGAACACATCTCTTGCCAATTTGACCTTCTCTTAAAAATTACAATTTCTATACATTGGCACGGTATTATTCTGTTTCTGTCTAGTGGCACTTTCTATTCTATTCTAGAGCAACTTTAATTACTATATCTATAATTTCAGCCACATCCTAATTTACCATATTGATTGTCCATTCAGCAGTGAAGTTGGTTGATTATTTATTTTTATAGTAATAGTGTCCAAAACAGTTAATGTTCAGCTGATTGCACAATTTCCTCACTAGACTGGTTACGGTTTCAAGGTGCACTGTGTAAATCTGGAATTCTGTACAGTGAGAGAGAAATGCTCAGATTCTATGCTCATTCTCCTACTTGGAAAAATATGCTATTTTTGATTGCATGGGAACTCAGAGTCATGATCCTTGCATGGCCATTTAAAGTCTGGGAAGAGCGGTCTGTGCATGGATTTGTGAGTCCCCAGCAAACACAATCACTCTTAAGCAAATTGCAGAAAAGCTGTCAGGTTTGGGGATTAAAACTGCTTGTTACTGATGGCTTGGAAGGAAGACCATGCCTGTGAGAGACATGAGCTGCTGTGGGTTTATTCTGCCATTTCTACCCGCCCCAAGCTTGCCACTTGCCTCTCCCGCTCTCTGGCCTTGGCTCTGCTCTGCAGTTCCCAGCCCAGGAATATCAAAGGAAGCAGATGACCACACGTAGAAGGGATGTAGAGGTTGTTTCAGCACCCCACAGGCTGAGCAGACTCCCCACAAGCAGGGCAGCATGGGCTGCAGTGACTTGCTCAGGAACAGACTGACTACCCATTCTGCCATGATCTTGGTTCTAGGAGGTATTATTTCCTCCCCTTACACCCAGACCCTTAACAAATCTGGCTCCCTCTTTCACCACAGAATGAACACATCTGTCAAGGCACCATGAAGGAAGAGACACACTTTTCTGGGCTGGATGATCATCAATATCTCCAGCTTTCTGGATATCAACAGGAACCCAGGCATTTTGGTTATGATGAAAAGTGTGAGTGTATTTGTCTCAGGACTGTAGTGCCAACATCCATCAAACAATTTCTTGATTTTCAGGTGGGTTTTTTATGTGTCCCAATGCTGCGTTTCTCATCTGTGAAGGTTCTCTATAAATATCATAAAAGCTTGGGCATGAGAAAGCCAAAGAGCCTACTACCTGACTAACACGAGAGAAGTGACCTGGGCATTCCCTTCATCTTGTTGCAAGAAACTCCCGAAGGAAGAAATTATTACATTCTGTAGATGGAGATGTCTTTCTGTTGAACAGCTGCAGGCACAAGTTTTTAGTACACAGCTAATAATCACCATCCTCCTTCCAACTTGACCAGATGAAGTTTAAAGCTATTATCATTCCAACTCCACTCCTTCCCTCCTTCTCTACTAAGAAAGGAAGGATGTCCCACCGTTACTTATGAACCCACAGGGGCACCCGATGGGCTCACTGGGCTATTTGGACACACACTGTAGGGCCCTGACAGGTAAAATATTTCTATTTTAGATTACAATATATAGTCTTTGAAACTGTCCACAAATGTCAGGTGCCAGCATGTGCACATGCCTCCTGATACAGCCACATATATAACATGGAGAAAAAGTCTTTTAGTGAAAATGTCAGCAAGTCTGACATGGAGTAACAGGAGAGACATTTACTACTTTTCTTTTAGTAAAGACAGAAAAAAGATTTTGGGAGAGTGAAAATTAGTGATGTGGGACATGAATGTATAAATGAAAGACAAATTTTAAAAGCATCGACAAAATGTTCTAGTCTGTGGGAAGTGAGGCCTAATTTGGATTTTAAAGGGATAAATACATTTAAAATTTAAAACTCGAGTGTCCTGTTTTTCAGAAAACGGTCTGTCTGCTTAGCAACATCTAAATAATCTATGACACGTCTCCACACGATGGGATGTCCTGACATATCAATTGAGAATTACATGGCAAAAAAAAGGTCAGTGGATCACAGCATTTAAAAGGAAATAATGAACTTGTTACCACAGATAAATCAGAAAGAAGTCCCTCATTCAGAAACAGGGTTGATAGCTAAAAAACATGTGTTCCTTACCGTACAGGTAGAAGTTTTTAGAGCTCTTCATCAAGAATATGATGTGGGGTAAGTAATGGCCATTAAACAACAGACATTTTGCCCAAAAATACTACCCTAGGATGAAATGAAGATCCATTCATTGTTTTGGAAGGTATGAAAAATATGAGCAGAAAGGCAGAGTAAAGGCAGCTAAGGTGATTGCCCCTGAGCCACCCTGCTGCCACATCCCTGAAACTACAAGGGGGTCCTGAGATTTTATGTTTATTTGAAGGGAGAGACAGCTTATTCCTGCCAGTTGGAATAAGGGTATGACTGGGAGCAGTTCTGATGTGCTTGCTAGGAAAGCTGACTATACTCCCCTTCAACAGGTGTGGATGCCCACCAAGACTTCCTTATCCCTGACAATACTCAAAACATCTGTGCAGGTCTGTTTGTTGGATAAAAAAAATTTCATCCTTGGACCTGTCCTTTTTGGAACTGTTCTTCCAGCATTTGTCAGAATAAGAGGGATTGCTGAAAAACCCTGCAGAAATTGTTTAGCCTCAGACACTTGCAAAAATAACAATGCAGATCAATAAACTTCATATCCTTTCCAATTATAAATTATTCTCAGAAACTACTGATAAATGTCTATGGTGTTTTTCCTTATTTAATAGATTCTCTGGATTTGTGGTCATAACATATTAAAATGTATTCTTTGTCATTAAAATAGTTTAAATGAAAGCAATGTTAGTTCTTGTAAGTTTTGTTCTAGAGACTGAGTGTTCCTTGCTCTGATGCACTGCTTAGTCAAACTTGCATGAAAAGCTTAGCTAGCAGTTAAAGAATGCAAGTGCTTTCTGAGTGAGGTGTTGACTAACGATGCAAGAACTTCAACCTTATCAGGTCACCAGCATCCTCAGTTTAAGGGACTGTGGCTATAAATTCCTTAATTGTGTCAGGTCCACAGAATGAGTCAGGAGATAAGAGTTTGATATATTAACTCCTTGGACAAGGACCTACACTACGCCTACACCTACACTTTGCCTAAATTTGGCAGAATTTAAACAACTCTGCAAGGCTAGGGAACAAGAAGTATTTCTCTTTCACAGCAGAACCTGACTTACGAAAGTCCTGAAAGTTTCTAGGCACCTCTAAAGTCATCCCAGACTCATCTCTGTTCATGGTACCTAAAGTACCTCCCACATGTTTTAGAAGCTCCTTGGTCTGGAGATCTATAAGATTTTCTTCTTCCTAAGCACCAGTGAAAGTCAAAGGTTATTCAGAGAGATGATTACATTTAATTAAGTAAAAATTATGTGAGCATGCCTAAAATGTTCTGATATGTTTATTTAAAAATTTACTGGAGCAGGTTTGATGTACCTTTTTCCAGCATACAAATGGCTAGAGCACTTGTCTCAGTCAGAAGAAACCCAGCTTGTATTTTCCCTGTTTGAGGCATTTGAATCCAAAGCATATACACTGATCACAGTTACTGCAAGAAAAGGCACTTTCTGCAATATCCCTTGAAGCTGAGCCACTGCGCAGCTGGTAAAGCTGGAGAAACAGAGTGCAGTATTATCTAGTGGTGAAGTATTCAGCCAAGATAAAGTCCAAAGTTCTCCTCCTCCTGGATTTTTCTGTATATATTGCACTAGATAACCACCAGATTAAGCGACAGTAGCAAGATACCAAACATTTTGCATCATTATCTGAATCTGCTTTTCAGAAATCCCACTGTCTTAATCAGTAGTTTCTTCTTCAAAGTGAGACATTTGAAATTAAATGGCATATTTTAAGAGGTGTCAATATCTATTTCCATCATGTTAAATTGCTGCTACTCCTCCTCTTCCAGTGCATTTGAGTGCTCAGTCTCTGTCCTAGCATCTCAAAGGGAGTCCATAGGGGTACACATGATGCTTAGTAGCCCTGGTCAGGATATACAGGAAAAATCTACAGCCTGAGCTATTGCAGCCACAAACAGGGAGCAGCCAAAGTTTTCAATCTGTTGCAAAAATGAGGGAACCTAATGAATTTTTCAGGTACAGCTAAATCTTATGGTAAACATAATGATGGTTAATTTAGAAGTAAAAAACCCCGAGTTTCTATTTTAAGGGAAGGTAGAACAAATGCTCACTTTAATATTTAGACATCAATTAAAAAAAGAGTAAAATTTCAAACAAATCAAGACCATTGGCCTCTATGACATATACACACAGATTAAGAATCACATCGGGAAGCAGGCAATAAGAATATAAAAATATTTCCAGTTCAGGTGTATATATTTATGAACATCTGTCGAGGAAATTAAGTTGTGATTTAAGTGAAATCTCCATCCCAGTTCCCCTCACTAAATAAAATTCTGAGAAGCTAATTCTGCCTTTGCAGTTTATTGTGAAGACATAATACCTAATTAAGCACCTGCAGTAACAAGACACACTGATTTACACAAGTGGTCAGATGTGATTTTCTAACAGACACACCAGAGGGGGTAAAAGACTGAAAAAATGGTGAGCCATGAGCATCCCAGCCCAATTAGCAGGATGGGAACTGAAATCCTGTAGAATGTAATTATTAATCATGTTGTCATCTTAAGACTGAACACAAATAATTGAGCGCAGCACACTCACAGTGTTTACCCAGTCTCAGCAGCACACTGCCTTAAGATATGCCTTCTTGTCATTTTATATTCAAACATCAGGATTACTCAGACACTAGGATGCCACAAATGAGAATACAGGACCTATGGAAATCATAAGAGAATTGGGCCAATGTCCAATATTAAGAAACTTGACTATGAAGTGCATTGATGAAACTGGGTAAGGGACAGTTGTCTAACTACATATACAATGAGAAAAGATCTATAAGAAAAGAAAAAATTAAAGATATATTGCAGTAAAACTAGCAAAAAGGTTGTGAGAAGTCAGACAGTCTTTTACAAGTAATACACAGAGACATTTTAAGTATCATAGAGGCTTACAGGTAAATAAGACAAAATTGATGGCAACCTGGATGCTGATATTTAAAGACAGCAGTTTGATAAATTATGAAGCAGTAAAGGCTTGTTTAAACCAGATATTGATAAAATGAAATCTAGATGTTATCAGTGGTATAAATATTAAGAAAAAACAATCTGAATGTGCAGTATGATGAAATTAGAAACAATAAACAGAATAATCAGATATTTAACAGTTAGTGCTCTAAGGCTGTTACAAAATTATTAGGTTATATGAAGATAGGAGATGAATTGGGTAGATTTTAATTACCCATTTGATATAGCATCCCATGAATACTTGAAAATATATTAAAAAACAATTGGATAAAATAATTGTTAAATAGTCTGAGGGTTGAATAATGCTGTGATAAATGCCAACTGATTAGCAGAGGAAGCCCATGGCTTGCTTAACACCACTATCAACAGCTTGACCCTGTCTTTTGAGAAGAAACTGTTTGTGAGGAAAGGACTGTATTTCAGCTTTACTCCAAAATCAGATGACATTGACTAAAGGTGATTCTGTGCCACAGGTATGTAGTCTGAAATAGTGCTCAGTGCAGATTGATGAAAACAAGCCTGTGCTCATTCAGCAGAGCAAAGATGCTCATTCACTATATCCATAGACAGCACATCATTCACTGACATAGTAAAGACTGATTATGGTCCAGATTATGCATAACAGAGAAGTGATGGCCAAGAAGATCAGCAGAGGCAGAGAATAATGAGAATAGCAGCCCAGATGACTGGAAAACTTATTACACTGAAAGTAAGTCAAAGATGCATGAAATGGATTAAGAACTGACTCAGAGATCCATAAAAATGCTGCTGTGCACAGGATTTAGGTGTGCTGCACAATGTGAATACCGCTGCTTAAAGTCATGCACAGTCTACAATAAAGTTCCTAGGGGAACAAACCTGAAAGTGATTTTAGAAATTCCCCTGACCACCATCCTAACCTGATGCTTTGAAGATAATGTTCTTCTGCAGAAAAGCACTGCTATTCTTCTCCATC